TCCTGGACGTGTCCCGTCCACCGGTGGACGAGACCCATCTAAGGGCGTGGCGGAGCGAGGGAGTCGGCGCTTGCCTGTCCGCCCAGTCGATCTCTGCCTGTCTGCCCGCTCTCGACTGGGCGCGCGTGCGATCTGGGCGCGGGGGGCGTGTGTGTGTCTGTGGGAAGAGCGTGGGGTGGGAGCAGGAGAGGACCAGGACGTGTCACTGTCTAGACCTGCAGGGGCGGCCCATACCCCGAGACTATCCGAGATTACCCGAGATTACCCGAGGTTGCAGGTGCGGCACATACCCCGAGCAGCGCAGCGCACGCGCGAGGCCGCGGGGCACCGCCTCCGCTCGACCTGTCGCCCACCTCTCCTCGGCCCTCGCCCCGACCCCACGCCGGCGACAACCCGTGCACGCGGCGCATGCCCACCCCCACCGCCGCCGCCGCCGCCGCCGCCGCCGCCGCCGCCGCCGCCGCCGCCGTGCCATTCGAGCCGACCGCGCGCGGCTGTACGCCTCCGCCGCCGCCGCGACCGGCCCACGAGCAGCGGCTCCGTGCCTGCTGGTCGAGGGGGAGGGTGCGGTCGCAGGGCGCGTCGTCGGCGGCGCGGAGCAGCCTTCGTCCTCCGCGGCGCGCAGCCGGCCACTCTTGCGGTCGCTTGCGAACCCGGATCAGGTTGGATGTGGGGGAGACGCGGTGGCCACCCGCACGAAAGGTGCCCCGCCGCCGTTCTGCCGTGGTGTGGTTTGCGACCAGTCGGAGTGATCCAAATCGGTCGCCGGCGGCGGCGGAGGTCACCATCGCCCTTCCTCCGACTGGTGTGGGGCCGCACTCTTGGACATTCTGCAGCCGCATCGCGCTGCGCCATCCCAAGCGCGTGATCGCCCGCTGCAGGGGTCTCGCGGCGTCGACGGTTGTGTTGCCTCGCCACCACTGTGCCTGCGAGGCGTAGCACGACAGAAGGTGCCGCTCTCTGAAACGCGGCGAGCCAAACGACGCGACCAGCCCAAGCCACGGCTGCACCATCACTGCAGCTGTCGGCGGCGGCGACGGCGGCGAGGGCGTCGGCGTGGTGCTGCCCGTGGCACTGTCGGGCGCTGCAAAGATGGCCTGGTTGCGCCCCTGGGCCCACACGTCCTTGCTGGGCCAGCGCTTGCTTGCCCACGCTCTCAGCTCGATCACGCCGCCGTCAGAGGTGACGGTGGCGGTGACCTGCGGAGCAGTCGGCAGCCCTCAGCCACACGTGCGCACTCGGCCCTCCTGGAGCTCTACAGAGAGAGAGCCTGCGCAGCAGAGTGACCCGACGGTGAGGTTAGGTAAGGTAGGGTAAGCTCCTCCACACACGCACAAGGTAGTGGGGCAAGGGCCAGGCTAGTCCCTCGCGACTGCGCGTCTAGACGACAGGAGCCCCACGGCATGCAAAGTGCAAGGCCCGGTGCGCGTGGGTGAGCGGTGTGTGTGTGTGTGTGTGTGTGTGTGTGTGTGTGTGTGTGTGTGTGTGTGTGTGTGTGTGTGTGTGTGTGTGTGTGTGTGTGTGTGTAGTGGGAGAGAGAGAGAGAGAGAGAGAGAGAGAGAGAGAGAGAGAGAGAGAGAGAGAGAGAGAGAGAGAGAGAGAGAGAGAGAGTGAGGGAGAGAGAGAGAGACCTGCACCAGCGCCACCATGAAGTGGCACGCCAGGCATGTGGTCGTCGCGAAGAGGCGGCCGTCGATGTTGAGCAGCCTGGGGAGAGTTTACCGCGGTGTGGTGCAGACGGCGAGAGGCGTGCGGAGATAGTCGATCTAGGAGGTTGGGCGCAGCCTGGGGCCACCGCCGGTGTGGTGCGAACGGCGAGAGGCGTCGGGTCTACGACGTGTGGGCGCGCTCGCCGAGTGTCGTAGGACGGCTTAACCCACGGCGGCAGGTAGCCGTCGCTCACTCCGGGAGGCACGAACCAGCGCGAGCCGTTGCCCTCCACGGCCGCGAGAGACACCTACAGTGTGGCGGTCGCGGGCATGCGATGCCCACGCCGCGCCCCCACGGCCGGCGCCAGTCCTGGGGCGGAGACGGGGCCTGGTTCTCTGGGCGAGGGAGCAGCCACGTCCAGCCGAGAAGCCGGCGGTCGGCGTCGAGGACGGCGAGGGCGGTCCCCTTGAACCAGGCGCCTATCTCGCGGCACCCCTGCGCCATGATTGAGCTGCACTGGCGAGTTGGCCCCCTCCTGGGAGATGCAGTGTGTGTGTGTGTGTGTGTGTGTGTGTGTGTGTGTGTGTGTGTGTGTGTGTGTGTGTGTGTGTGTGTGTGTGTGTGTGTGTGTGTGTGTGTGTGTGTGTGTGTGTGGTAGTGCCTGGGGCGCTCTGCGGCATGTTGCGGCGCAGCAGGGGCGAGGAGGCGTTGCACTGGTGCATGACATCGACCCGCAGCGCCACCACGTACGTGCAGCGCGGACAGAGCCCCCTTGGCGCTTCCGTGATGGCGGGGTTGAAGACGCTGAAGACGCGCGGCTTCGCGGGGTAGGGCGGCCGTCGCTGCATCGACGCCGGCCCGCCTGCACGCAAGCTATGTCGCGTACGAGTCGGAACCTCGACACGCGTGCGCGCCGGTGCGAGGTGATATACTGCTGTGTGAGAGGGAGCGTCTCACACTGCTGTGTGAGAGGGAGCGGAGTGTCACACCGATCGGCGGGAGCGGAAGCGACAGCTCTTCGAGAGGAAGGCGGATGACAGCCGGCCGCTGATCGCCAATCCACTGGCCGGACGGAATCTCAGACGCAGGGTCTGGAAACGCTGCGGCGGCTCCGTACATCCAAGGCGGCGAGTACTCCCTCATTTGGCGGTGAGGGCTGTGAGCTGGGGCAGCGGCTGTGAGCAGCGGGGGGGTTTTGTGTCCTTTTAATAGACGCCGAAAACAACAAAAGAATTAAACAAAAGAACTCTCTCTCACAGCAGACAGGCTCGACACAGGTGCGAACTGGCGCGTGCTAGTACTATCACCGGCACAGCACCGGAGCCGCCTAAGCGACTCCGTTAAGGTCGGCGCCTTCCTTGCCGCCTTCACCTTCCGCACCCTATCGGGCGCCCTCCGTTCCGTCTTCTGTCCGTGTGCGCGCTCTTCTATGGCCGCCCACTTCCAGTATTGTCGCAGCTGCGCCCACTCTGGTCGCTCCAGCTGCTCCGCCAGCCTCTTGTATTCGCTATGTTCCGTCGTGTTGTCTTTGAGGCCATAGACTCGCTTCATTTGCGGCCACGTCAACACTTCCCCGGTGCCCCATTCTGACACGTCCGACCATGTCGCTATCCCGTGCTTGGCTAGGTTACGTGCAAAGTCACACGCGAGGCCTTGGTTACGCTCCAACGAGGCTCAGACGCCCACCGCGGAGCCAGAATACTTTTTCGCGGCCCACCCTTGCGCCGGCAGCGAGCCGCAGCGAGGCCACGGCCCAGGACGTGCCGCTCTGTCGCTAACTTACCATACATGGCCGCCGTCTGCGACATCTGCGGCAAGGTGCTGCGCAGCGCCTCGGCCGAGGCCATGGCGGCGCATAAACGCGAGAGCCAGTCGTGCACGCGGGTCAAAACAAAGGGCGCGAGTGGCGAGGTGACCTCCTCCCACGCGCATGTTTGCTCTTTCGCTGCGTAGCCGCCAGCGCTCAAACCAATCTCTCGCCGACTCTATCACGCTCAGCCTTCGCCGACGACAGGTGGCGAGGCTGGAGGAGAAGCTTCGTGCGGTGATTGAGGCGGGCCGTCGGCTTGCGGCACACGGCGGCGCGTACGACGTCGTCGAGGCCAACACCAAGGAGCGGGGCGAGGTGGAGGCGGCGCTAAAAGCGGCGCGCTCGTCCACCAAGGCAGCGAGCCCTAGATCTGGAGCGACACAGAGACACACGGACGCGGCCCTCGTCCGGCCCTCGCCCTTGGCCGCCGCGGCCGCCGCCGCCGCTGCTGCTGCCATCGTCGTCACACCTCCCTCCCACGAGCAGGCGGAGAAGGCGCGAGTCAAGGAGCTGGCGCAGCAGTCGATGTCGGCCGCCGGCTGGACGAGCGCGCTGCTGCAGGGGGAAGAGAACCGGTTCGCTAAGGCCGACGAGGGCGCGGTCGAGTCGCAGCTGGCTGCGGCGACGGTGGGCCTCGTCTCGTCGGCCGCCTTCCGCGAGAAGCGAGAGGAGCTGGAGGCGGCGGCGGGAGCCAAGCGGGAGCGCGAGGCGGAGGAGGCGGCGGAGGCAGCCGCTGCGCAGCAGGCGCGCAAGCGCGCCAAGAAGCGCGAGCGCGAGAAGCAGCAGCAGCGAGGCCTCTCGTTTGCGGCCGACGAGGAGGACGGCTGAGCGACTCGCGCCAGCAATGTGTAAGGACTAAGAACGTTAGCACAGAAAGCCATCGGTGTGCGGCATTTTCGCGCCGTCGCCTCCCTCCGCTACTCGAGTACAGGAATGGGTCGCGGGGGGGGGGGCAAGGCCACGCGACTCGCCACGCGCCCTTCCGAAGGGAGCATGGCTTATTTAGCTCTGCCGCCGCCGCGCCCGGATTCGCCGTCCGAGCCGACGTGCTACGGCTCTCCGGCGCAGCCGACCAAGCAGCGCGAGGCCTGGCGAGTACAGCAAAAGTCCGCTGTCGAGCAGCTCATTGCTCTCGAGGAGGCGCCTTGCCGCCGCGCCCGCTCCCCTCGCCCTCGCCTCTACGGCGCCATGCCGGCGCACCCGGCCGCGCGCACCGCGTCGGAGCACCACCTGACCAGCCAACGCCCCGCATGCGGCGTCCTGACTCTCTCCCGTCTGCGGCCTCAGGCGGCCGAGCGGGCGGCCGACGCGGCGCGGGCGGCGGAGGAGGCGGAGGGCGAGGAGGGCGAGCGGGAGGCGGTGACCAACTACGCGGCGATCGGCAAAAGGTCGATGTACTGGGACACGGAGAAGCTCGGCGACAAGCTGCAGGGCCTCGACAAGGCTGGCGCCGCCGCCGCCTCTCTCGCCGCCGCCTCTCTCGCCGCCGCCTCTAATCACCGCTGCTGCACTCTGCTCACCGCTGCCTCTGCTCAGCGCCGCCGCCCCTCTCGCTGCCGCTGCTGCTCACTGCCGCTCCCGAGCTCCCCGCCACCGCCCCCTCTCTCCTCGCCGCCGCTGCCTCTCTCCTCGCCGCCGCTGCCTCTCTCCTCCCCTCTGCCTCGCCCCTCCCCTCTGCCTCTCTCCTCCCTCTGCTGCTGCTGCCGTCGCCTCTCCTCTCACCGCACCCCCTTCCTCTCCTCTCACCGCACCCCCTTCCTCTCCTCTCACCGCACCCCCCTTCCTCACCTCTCACCGCGCCCCCCTTCCTCTCGTCTCACCGCGCCCCCCTCCTCTTGTCTCACCGCACCGCGCCCCCCTCCTCTCGACCCTAAGGTGGACCCGTACGGCCTGCTCGAGCTCGAGGATCGCCGGTGGGCGGCGACGCCCGAGGTGCCCTCCCCCCGGGGGCGTGCGTCCGGCGTGCCGTGTGCGGCTCCTCTCATCCTCCCAACTCCTCGTGACTCGTAGGAGCTGCGCAAGGCGTACCGCCGGCTGGTGCTGGAGAAGTGAGCAGACACCTCGTAGACACTTCGTAGACACTTCCCAGCTGCAGGCAGTGGCGGAGAACCCTCTCGGAGCCCTCTCGGAGGCCTCTCGAAACCCTCTCGGAGGCCTCTCGAAACCCTCTCGGAACCCTCTCGGAACCCTCTCGGAACCCTCTCGGAAGCTTCGACCCTGCAGACACCCCTCACTCACACCCACACCCTCACCCCAACCTCAACCCAACCCGCACCCTCACCCTCCAGGCATCCGGACAAGAAGGCGGCGCAGGAGAATGGCGGCGCCAGAGGCGGCAAGGAGGGCGGCAAGGAGGGCGGCAAGGAGGGCGGCAAGGAGGGCGGCAGGAGGGGCAAGGGCGGCGGCGGCGAGGGCGGCAACAACGGCAACGGCAAGGAGGGGGGCGGCGAGGAGGGCGGCGAGGAGGAGGGGGGGGAGGGCGAGGAGGAGGGCGAGGAGGAGGAGGAGTTCAAGCTGCTGTCGGCGGCGTGGGAGCTGCTGGGCAGTGAGGAGAAGCGGCGACAGTACGACTCGGTCGACTACTTTAACGACGCGCTCCCCACCGCCTTCCGGCCGCGCGCCGACGACCCGGGCCGCTTCTTCCGCGTGTTTGGGCCCGTGTTTGCTCGGCAGGCAAAGTTCTCGGTGGTGCGGCCGGTGCCGTCGGTTGGCGACGACGAGACGCCGCTGGAGGAGGTGCAGCGCTTCTACGCCTTTTGGACGCGCTTCCGCTCCTGGCGCGACTTTTCGCTGCTGGCCGAGTGCGACCCGGCTGAGGGGCGGCGGAGGAGCAGCCGTGAACAGCGTCTCTTCACACCTGTGGCTGTGAACAGGTACGACACGGCTGAGGCGGAGGACCGCGAGGAGCGGCGGTGGATGCAGCGGCAGAACAAGAACGAGGTGGAGCGACTCAAGCGGAGCGAGATGCGGCGGCTGATGAGCGCGGTCGAGCTGGCGCAGGAGAACGACCCGCGGCTGCATCGTGCCAAGGAGGAGCGCGCGGCGGAGCGCGAGCTGCAGCGGAGGCGAAAGGAGGAGGCGCTGGCGGCGGAGAAGCGCGCAAAGGCGGAGGCGGCGGAGCAGGCCCGGGCGGCGGAGGCGGCGGCGGCGGCGGCGGCGGCGGCGGAGCGGGCGTCCAAGGATTCGGACAAGGCGGCGGCGAAGCGCGAGAAGGAGAAGGCGCGGTCGGCGCTCAAAAAGGCGCGCAAAGAGCTGAAGTCGCTCGGCGAGGAGGGCGCCGCGTGGCGCGCGCGCGCGTCGGACCTGGAGGCGGTGGCGAGTGGGCTGCCTCTGGTCGAGATCGAGGCGCTGCACGCGACGCTGTCCGCCGGCGACGAGGCCGCCGGCACCGACGCGCTCGAGGCGGCCCTGCGCAAGGTGCTCGGCTGACCGAGGCCGCTTGTGACTTGTCGGCGGCGGCACGGCGACGAGTGCCGCGCGCCGCATCCACGGCGCAGCCCCCCTCCCTCTCTCTCCTCTCCTCTCCTCTCCGCGTAGCGCGCCGGGCTCGCCGGGCTCGCGGGGGTACTGCGCGTGTCTGGCTTGCTGGGGCAGGGCGACGCCGCTGGCAGCTGTGGCCCCTTGTGCGCGTGTGCGTCGTTGATACATTGTGTGCGCGGAGCCGATCAGCCCTCACGCCCATACCTGTCTCACGTGCGGGCAGGGGGAGGGACCGGGAGTTGGGCGGGCCGCGTGTGATATTGCGCAGTGGGGGGAGAAGCCAACGGCAGCCGTGCGGCACGCGAGATAGTGGCTCTTCCGCGGGCGGCGCTCCTCGTCCACCACTTTGGTGTGGAGACGTTTACCTTACCTTACCTTAGCTTATCCTCGTCCCTCTCGCCAATCTCGCTCTTCGAGCGTCCTCGCCGCGCGAAAGAGCGAGTGACGGATAAAGTCGTGTGAAAGAGCTGTGAAAGCGAAAGTAGCGAAATTAATTGCCCGCCGCAGGCGAAGAAAATTTCAGGGTTTTTGGTCCCCGACGCCAAAGAAATCGAAGATTCCGCCGGCGGCGGGAGGACCGCGCCAACGGGCACGCGACTCGCGCTATGATCGCGCTGGTGCTTGCGTTGCTGTGGCCGTCTTCATCCGTGTCGTACACCGAGCTGGCGCCACAGCAGTACAACAACGGCTCGGTAGAGCTGCTCCACGGGACTACTATCATCATCAGAGGGCCCGGCAATGTCCACGGCGGAGCTGGCGGTGGCGGTGGCGGCGGTGGTTATGGCGGCGGCGGCGGCGGAAGCGGCGGCGGCGGCGGCGGCGGTGGCGGCGGCGGCGGCGGCGGCGGCGGCGGCTCTTACTGGACGGGGGCGCTCGCCGCTGCCAGCTTCGCGCTGATGCGGACGTCACATGTGCAAAGTGCCAATGGTCTCCAGCGAGGCTTGCTGAACAGCTGGAACGCAGTCGTGCTGGGCGCCACTCTGTACGCCTACATGCCTACCCACTACGGGCAGCTGACCACCACCGATTGGATACCCTGGTCGGCAGAGTCGGCGGCGGCAGTGGAGGAGCTTGCGGCTGCTACGCTCGAGGAGAAGTGCGCAAGGGCGCGGCTCACGATCGACGAGCTGTGGCTCGAGGCGGCGGACGCCCAGGTGCACCCACCGCGTGTAGAAGACCTCTCCTGTCCCCGGGTCCCAACTGCGCGCCATCTTTCGCTCTAGGAGGATGCACTCTTGCTTCGCCAACGTCAAATTGTACTCGCTGAGCACGCCCACTGGCTAGCCACGTGTCTCGAGTCGGACATGTGCCAGCCGTGCGAGGGAGGGGGGGGGGCAGGGCCAGGGCGTCCGTCGAAGGAGACTATGCAAAAGCGAAAGGCCGCAGATCAGCTGGCCTCTCAACATGGACGCTCCTTCTTTCAGAACGCGGGTTTCGCAATTCCTTCGCGGCCGCCGAAGCCTGCCTTGCCCTCGCAGCAGCGCACTATCACTGAACCTTCTCGGCAGAGGCGGCGGCGGCAGAGGCGGCGGCGGATGAGGTGGCGTCGGCAGAGCAGGCGGCGCGGGAGGGGACGTCAAAGGCAGGGGCCACCAACCGCGCTCTGACTCAGGCACCGATATCGATGCTTATGGCAGAGTCGGGGGCGGAGCGTGACACCGCAGCCGCCGCGGCGAGCTCTACTGCATCTCGTGCGGCCGAGGAGGCTAAGCTATCGCGTGCTCGGGCGGAGGAGGCGGAGGAGGCTGCCGCCAAAGCTGCTGCCGCGGTTGCGCGTGCAGAGCAGGCCAGTCGTCAGATCACAGTTCGTACGGGTTACTTCGGGTCGCTCAAGGAGATGCTGTCGCTGGCGGGGCGTGAGGTCGTGCCGGTCGCAGGCGACGGCAACTGCGGCTTCTACGCATTTTTGGGGTGCGAAGACGCCATTGAGCACTGCCGGGGCCGGACGCGGGCACCGACTGCGCGTGACTATGCCGCTCAGCAGAATCTACGCGAGGAATGCGTCAAATGGCTGCAGGATCGCCCGCAGCTAACAGCATGGCATGCGGGCATGGACGCCGTCTCCAACTCTCGGAGACAATCATCGTGGAGCGACGCGGCAATCAAAAATTTGGAGGGCGGCAAGCAGAGCACATCTGATAGCATGGGAGTGTACGCGAACGAGGCTGCTCTCCGCGCGATGGCGGGGCTTCGGAAGGAGCCCCTTGTGGTTGTTGATTCCAAAGCTGGGCCGTCTCTGAGCAAGCAGGTTCGCAATCGCCCGCCAGACCAAGTGGCGGTGTATGAAACTCATGCAGGGCCAGAGGATAAGCGGCGCTGGTTTGCCTCTGTGATGAAATGGATGTCATGGGCGAACGACATTGCGCCGGTGCTGCAGCGTCGCCTCGAGGGCAACCAGCTGGAGGACGACCCCAAGTATCGCGTGATTGTCCACAATGGCGAGCCGGCATCGAGCCGCGGCGGCCACTTTGACGCAACGCGCGTGGTAGTGTAGTAGCGTGTCATAGCGTGCGTGCGTGTGTAAGGAATGGACCGCGTGTTTTCTTTTATTTTCCTCGACGGGCGCTCGACGCGCCGTATGGAGCACGCGCGCGCCCGCTCACGCTGCCCGGCATGCCTGCAGCATCCAAACGAGGCGCGCGGCGTCGCTCAGCCGTGTCCACGCGGCTTCGCTCCTGTCCTAACCGGCGCCATCTGGGCGGCTGCTGCGGAGCTGCTGCCGGCGGTGCGACAACTGGCCGACAGATACGACGCTCAGGGCACCCGTCGGCGATCCACCGGGAAAGGAACGAAGGCGCCGCTGTCGGCGATTCACCGCCGCTCGTTCCCGTCTCTTAAAGCTGGCTACACCGTCGATGCGCACATCGAGGCGCTCGTGGACGAGGGAGACGTCGCCTCCTCTTTCGTACCGGGGCACTGTTCGCGCCGGAAGGCACCGCGCACTGCCAAGTACATTAGCCTTCATCTCTCCTACCGCCGGCCGGGAGTGCAGCCTTCGCCATCGCTGGGTGAGATGGTCCTCGACTTTGGCACCTGCGAAGTAATGAACAACATGCAGTACATCATATGGCGCTATGACAGCCCTGCGATGGGCGACCTCGACGCAGACGAGGCGGAGCTCATCTGCGCGGCGCAGATCGCCGACTTTCTCTCTCTCCCTGCGCGAGTGGTTGCGCCACCTTGGATGAGGCATATGGGCTGGGCAGGGGAGTTGGTAGAGGAGGTCGACTGAGGGCGCGAGGCCGCCAATCGTCACAGTCTGCTGCTGACTGTCGGTCGCTGACTGGTTGCGCATTGCGCTGGCCGCGCAGCGGCCTTTAGAAAATTTTGGCCGCAGGCCTAGGTTTTGAAAGATCAAGAGAATAAGCGCGGGTGAGGCTTTGAGAAGCTGCCGTTTGCGGCTTCCTAAGTCAATTTTTCGAGAGGAACGTTTTGGCTGAGCTAGAACTTCTCCAAAGTCGCGCGATCATCGAGTTTTGAGTCAATAATTATGAAAGGGAAGGGAGAGGGAGAGTTCTAGCTCAGCCAATCGATTCAGCGTGCTCTGAAACGCCCAAAACCGTCGAGTTTTTCGCCGTGGTCCAAACAGAGAGCTTAATATTTTGATTTTCTTGGCCACGGCCACGATTACCCGTCACTCGCTCGAAAACCGAAATATCGATCATATTATTCTCCAGCGCGAGATCTTCCGCGAGACGCGCGAGCGCGGCGAGCCCGAGCGGGCTCTCGGCTCTCTGGTGTGTGTGTACCGGAGCGCTATCAGTATCACCTCGAGTCGGCATTAGTCACGAACGGCATCGCGGCGCTTCGACTTTAGGAACTGACAAAAAGTGCCCGCTTTTCTTTCCCCCGCCCGCCGCCCGCCGCCCGCCGCCGCCGCCGCGCGCCCGCCCCTCCGTGTGTCTCTGCGCGCCTTCCCCAGCCCTTCACCAGACCCCCACCAGACCTTCACCAGACCTTGATCGCGTCGAGCGCGCGCATCACCTCGTGAAAGGTTGCGCGAGAGCTGTCGAGCAGGTTGAGGGCGAGCAGGAGATCCGCTGGCCTGCGTTGTGAATACGCCAGCCTCAGCGCGGGAGTACGGCACTGTGCAGCGTCTTCAGAGCACCGCGTGAATGCGAGGGGTGCGAGGACGATGAATACAGCGGAGTACGGCTGACTACGGCTGTAGCGTGTGTGATCTCTCGTCTCCCGCTTGTTGTGGAATTCTATGTCCGCTGGCCTGCTCTTGTTGATGAGCTCGACCAAGGTACGCGCGTACACCTGCGCGGCGGCACCGGGTGCCCGGTAACCCGCCCGAGCTGGCAGCGCCGCCAAGGAGACTGTCGCGTGGGAGCCCAGCTGCCCGAGACGGGGAAGAGGGATGGGCACCACGCGGGGAAGGCACTGTGTCTCGGACGGTGGCGCAAAGCACCTCGAGTGCCTCGTCGTCCCGCCGTCCAAGCAGGACGCGCGTGCTGTAGCAACCAGGTCCACTCGCCAGGCCCGTCGCGCTCTCTCGCGTCGCCGAGATGAGCGTGCCGAGGTTCTCTCGCTGAGACACCACGACAAAAATCCGGTTGGCGTATGCCGTGGCGATCAGCCGCGTTGAGACGCCACCGATGCAGACCTCTGCAGATTTGCTCAGTGGTCCAGGCTGTTGCGCGCACCCATTAGCGATCATTTCAAGCTCGGACGACTGCGTGAGATCACGTGCGTGTGGTGGCGCTCCACCAGCACCAACTGGCGGAAGGCGCGCTCGCGCAGCTCCCAGAAAAAGAATTATTCCTCGGCTTTTTGTTTTTGGCCTACTGTTGTGGCCCAAAGTCTGCCCAGGTTGTGAGGGACACGATCCCGGCGTGAACATGACTAACTGACGGATCCGCTCCTGACAGTATGCTGCGGCCGCTCCTGACTGACGGATCCGCAAGCGAGAAGGGCCGCTGCGGCGCGTGCGACTGTCTTTGTTTGAAGTTAAAAGTCGAATCAGAGCGCCGTCGGCGCTGTCCCTCGTTTTCCTCCCAAGGACCGCCCGTCCGGCACCGCTCCGGGACGCACGCCGGCGAAGCACCATCAAGCTGCTGTACGGCCCCGGAATCGCCTTCCCAGGCTTAGCTAGACTGAGAGATATTGTGGACATGGAAGCACAAGAGTTTTTCTTCTTTCTGGCGGCCATGAGCCATCGCTGACCTGGCTCGGGGCGACCTTGCCCCGCTGCGCGCCTTCCTCTCCGGGCAGGGGACGCGCGGCACGTCGCTCGCGGCCCAGCTCGACGCGCGGCACGACACCGAGAAGCAGGACACGCTGCTCACCTGGGCCGCTCGGCACGGGCAGGCCGAGGCGGTGCGGCTGCTGCTCGACAGCGGCGCGAGCGTCGGGGCGACGAATGGCGGCGGCGCTTCCGCGCTGACCTACGCGTGCAATGGAGGCTGCATCGACAGCGCCCGGCTGCTCCTCAAAGCCAGCGCGGCAGTCGACCAAGCCAACGCCAGCGGCTTCACGCCGCTGCTCGTCGCAAGCGAGAAGGGCCACGTCGAGATCGCCCAGCTACTCCTTGATGCTGGCGCGGCGATCAATCGAGGCAAGCACAACGGCGTCACGCCGCTGTACAAGGCGTGTAACAAGGGCCACCTCGAGGTCGCTCGGTTGCTGCTCGAGGCTGGCGCGGCGATCAATCAAGGCAAGCATGACGGCGTCACGCCGCTGTACAAGGCGTGTAACAAGGGCCACCTCGAGGTCGCTCGGTTGCTGCTCGAGGCTGGCGCGGCGATCAACCAAGCCCAGCAGGACGGCGCCACGCCGCTCCTCGCCGCGTGCCAGGAGGGCCACGTCCAGTGCGCCCGGCTGCTCTTCGAGGCTGGCGCAGCGGTCAACCAAGCTTGCAACGACGGCGCCACGCCGCTGTTCATGGCATGCCAGGAGGGGCAGCTCGAGTGCGCCCGGCTACTCCTCGAGGCCGACGCTGACATCAACCAAGCGATGAACGACGGCGCCACGCCGCTGTTCATGGCATGCCAGAACGGCCACCTCGAGGTCGCCAAGCTCCTCTCCTCCTACGGCGCCTCCCGCGCCGCTACGCCCTTCGGCACGCCCGAGGAGGCCGCAAACCGC